AAAATCATGATTCTCTTGTTTCCTTTTTTCATTACTTAAAGTAAGTCTTGATTTCTCCAGGAGACCTTGAGAATTAATTTAGAGTTTTAAAATACCATTTAATCTTATTTGTTGAAATCTATTTCTTACAAGAATCGGCGGGAGGGGGGATAACAATTTCCAGAAGTGTTTAATCCTTTTTTGAAAATAACCACAAATTATACCCCTCTTCCCTGACTCCAAGAACGTCGTAGCCTTTTCAAGAGGTAGTGTCATTTTCACTGATTTCAGTGTATCCTGGAGAAAACCTTACAACTAAGGATTTGTTAGGTCAAAGTTACAGAAAATTCTGGAAGTCTAGAGAATATGCATTACGGGTGTTGCTGTACATATTTGAAATCCTATTGGTTCCTATTGCAGAAGGCATATCGCAATATACTTAGCAACTGAAATCCTATTGGTTCCTAGTGCAGGTGGCATATCACAATATACTTAGCAACTGAAAGCAGCACACATTTTGCATGTCCCATTTCTGTGGTCAGGGTTCTGAGTATATTCAGTCTAACAAGGTGCTCAGGTCTCTCCAAGGCTGGAGTCATAGTCTTCTTCCATCTGTACTCCTCTCCGGAGCTTAGGGTTCTCCTTTATGTCCTCACAGTCATTGGCAGAATTCAGCCTTTTGACTTTAGAACTAAGGTCTTGGGCTTCTTAAAGTTTCATTACTCTGGATAGTACATTAAAACTGAAGACTGGGTTTGTTAACAGAAATCCCTACCAGTTATCATTCTTACAGTAATTCTATAACCTGGTGCACAGATAGTGAGTGAAAGGACTTTAATGAGGATTTTTCTTTAAAGTAATGTACGGAAACTAAACTATTCCGAAAGCAAAAGCCAAGATGTATGTATGATCTGTAGCTTTTAACATCGAGGATTTTTAGCTGCATTTTGAAATTTCATCTGGTCAATTAAGTATACAAAACAAATTAACCAAAACATACATTATGTATGTAGAAAAATATTAAAGTATATAATAAGGAAATGTACTCAATATAAGTCTTTAAAAATTGAAAACACAAAGTAATTTTGAGCTTCATGAGAGCCTTAGGGTTCACATTACTTGACTGGGATAAATTTAGAGGATTAGACAGTCTGGCTTGTTGTTCTTGCATGCTGACTGAGCTTCTTCCCTTTTGAACTCTTTCAAGGAGAGCTTAAAGTGTGTAAGTGTGTGTGTGTGTGTGTGTGTGTGTGTGTGTGTCTGAACGTGTGTGTGTCCGTGCGTGTGTGTGTGTGCGTTAACACTACAATGTGCATGTGGAGGTCAGATATAATCTGCAGGTGGGCCTCACCTCTCACCCTGGTTTTAGGCAAGGTCTCCACTGTTTGTGCTACTGTACTGTGTACTCCAGGTTAGATGGCCTACAGACTTGCAGGGATTTTTCTCCCTGGGCCGTACGTCATGCCTTAGGAGTGTGGGGACTAAGTGAGCATGGCTTCACCTGGCTTTGTGTAGGTTCTTGGATTTGGATTGGGAGTCAGGTCCTCATACTTGAACAGCAGTGCTTAACCACTGAACTTTTCCCAAGCCCCTATTTCACTAATTTTTTAGCACTTGATCATTCTTTACTTGTTACTGTCTATTGTACTTAAAGTTCCTTTCTTACACATCAAACATGGAGAGAAAAGATGAACATTTTGAAGAAATCACAGCTTTCTTGAGTCAGTCATTTTCTCCCTTCAATAAAGTTGGTTAAATACCATAACTATAACTATGATTCCATTGTTCAGAAACTAAAATAAAATCTGCAGTCTTCAAAGTTTTGACATCTTCCACTGCTATTCTATTTCTGTGTCTTTCCTAACATGTAATTCAGGCATCTGACTGAATTTAAAGAAGTAGAATCATTGGCAGCTCAAAACTTCATTTGTGCAACAGAGGTTTGAATGACTTGGGAGATATGTCTACACTTAAACGTTTTATTATTTCCTTTTTTATTGAAAGGCTTTCCCCACTGTAGTTAAATGATAATACCTTGTTTATGTCACTGGCAGTGAGTGTTCATGTATGACCTCAGTGTATCCTACCTGTTAGCACATGGTATTGTGTGGTCCGTAGACTTTTCAACAAACAAATGTAATTAATGTCACTAGAACTAGTGACTTTGTTTTTAATTCAGATCAAGTAGGAATTGACCTAGAAAGCATTTGATTCAGGAGTACGAATAAAATGAAATCACACAGCCATCCATTCTGTACTTGCGTCTGACTAGAAATGTACTAACTAGTTTGTTTCTCTCTTGGAATGGAAACCTTAAATTTTGTTATAACGTGGCATCTCTGTGTGAAATCACAGGTGAAGATGAAATCTGTACAGGGAGTTTAAAAAACACACTCATACACACGAATGCATGCACACACAACCCTTTGGGATCCTTTGGTATGTTTCACAACCTTTGATCAACATCTTTAACTTAGAGAAGGCTAAAACAGACTCACTTCACATCCACATGTATTTGGATATCATAGAGTCAAGCTAATCTCAGATTTAAAAAATAGATGTGTTTAGGTATAGACAAACAAGTTGACATTTGGACCATCTCTGTATCTAAATAAAAAATGCTCATCATAGTTCATAGTCCTAGAAATTACTCAACGACAGCTGCAAATTAATACCAATAAATCTATTACTTATTTTTCTAGTTTGCCCAAATAATTCTCAGAGCATTGACAAAAAGAAAAGTTACAGGTAGACATGTGTAAATGAACTTCTTCTTCTGATGCAGTGCAGACCAATTTTGTGCTGGAAACTTGAAATCCCAGATTTGTCCTGTGATATGGAGACTTGAAGTCATTTCCTTTATTTTTACGTCCAAATTTCTGTTGTCTTAACTGGCACGCTCCCAAATGGATAGATGCCTCCAGTTGTGTCTGTCAGCATGGTGTGGAGAACACCACAAATCTGGTAATTACAAGGAACTGTTTTCTCATTATTTCCCCACAATTTTTCTTTCCAAAGCATTTCCTAAGTTTGAAATGTTGTGAAAACCCTAGACTCTGGAGCAAAAAAAATGCTATTTTTAAAAAACAAGCTCTTATTGTGTTTTCTTAGCATAAAGGTAATGTATGTTCATCATAGAAAGGGCAAGTAAGCAAAATGAAGGCAAGGAAAGCCATAGAAATTTAACTCAACTGAGGGAGACATGGTTACAGTTCACACACATCTTCTAGTTCTTTCTCTGCATAGAAAAAAAAAATCACTTAAATTGTGTTGCACATCCTGTGATTGATGTATTACAACACCCCATGTTATAATTGGTTTTTCAGTCAACAGTATATTATAAATATCTCCCATGGCATTATTCTTGTACAGTATTCTTTGCATTGGTTAGACCATATTTACTGAACCAGTCCCAATTGCTTGTCTTTTAAGGTTTTTTTTTTAACTTTTATCTTTTCTTTTTTTGTTCTATAAATAATTCACTGAAGGAACATCTGAGCTACTATTATCAAGGGCATTTTTATGTAAAAAAAAGCTAAATTATTTAAAGTGTAGCAAAATGCTTTGGTGCTGAAATACGGTAACTGACAAGACAAAATGATTGCACGTGAGGCTGTCTTTGTGTGCTTAGGCAGCTTCCTTTGTAAGGGTCCCAGAGGTCGCAGACACGTGACAGATTCCCTGGAAAAGTTGAAGCCTCTGTAAGTCAGATTTCTATTACTAGAACAAGTATCTGGAAGAAAAGCAGCTTTTGAAGAGAGTCATATTGGTTCGTGGTTTTAGAGGATCTGGTTTGTGTTCGGGTGGACCTCCCAGGCTCACTGGTGTGGTGCGTGATAGCAAGGTGGAGAGAAGGCAGCTAGTAAAACTGCTTACCTCCTGGCCAGGAAGCAAGAGAGAACAAGAAGAAGGGATCAGCTCTCAGGATCCCACCCAACACTATGCCCCCAATGATCTCCCCCCTTAACCTAGCTCCTAAAGTTCCTCCTCCCCACAATAGAACCACTCTGAATGCGAAAATCTTTTTTATTTTTTAAAAACTATCTTTTTTCATTTTACATACTAATCCCAGTTTCCACTCCCTCCCCTCCTCCCATTCCCTACACACACACACACACACACACACACACACACACACACCACCCGCCACCTCACTCTCCATCCCCTCTGCAGAGAGGGCAAAGCACATTGTTCCGAGGAAGGATCAAAGCCCTTCCCACTATATCCAAGCTGAGCAAGGTATCCACCCAAAGAGAATGGGTTCCAAAAAGCCAGTACAAACAGCAGGGACCCCTGCCAGTGGCCCCATGGTCTGTCCCAGTCATACCACATTTAGAGGGTCTAGCTTGGTCCTATGTTGGTTCCTTCCCTGTTTGGCTAGAGTTGGTGAGCTCCCACTAGCTCAGGTAAACTGTTTCAGTGGGTGTCCCCATCATGGTCTTGACCTCTTTGCTCATATTCTCACTCCTCCCACTCTCCAGCTGAGCTTTGGGAGCCCAGCCCATGCTCCACCACAGGTCTCTGCCCCTGTCTACATCAGTTGCTGGATGAAGGTTCTATGGTGACGTTTAAGATAGTCATCAATCCGACTACAGGGCATGGCCAGTTCGGGCACCCTCTCCTCTATTGCTTAGGGTCTTAGCTGGGGTCATGGGCTGAAGAGATGGCTCAGCCATTAAAGACAAGGCTCACAACTAAAAATATGAACATGAAAATCTTAAAATGCAGGTCTTTTACAGGGGACACTGAAGATCCAAGATACAGAAAACCCCATGTAGAGAAAAATCAACAAACTATGATTTAATACAATAAATTGAAATAAATTATAGAACCACCTAAAAGGGGAGCCATTCTGTTACCTGTTTGTTCCTGTAGCAAATTCACAGCAATTCAGCATAAATTTCCATTTACAAACAATTCCATTTTTATTTCTTTTTCCACTCTACGTGTTGTCTTTTTGATCACACAAATTGTTGCTATGTAGATTAAAGTTGCCTCAACAAATCAACCCTTCTTACCAGGCATGCCATCTCCAACCACACTGAAGAAGTCGGAGAAGTCTGGTTTCAGCAGCCCCTCCCCTTCGCAGACCTCCTCCCTGGGGACAGCATTCACACAGCATCACCGACCTGTCATTACAGGACCCAGAGGTGAGTTGCTCCACAGAGACCCACAAGGTGTAAGCATCGTAATGTTGAGATCAGAGTAGCAAAGTGAGGAGACAGTGAGGGCTCCCCTGCAGTGAGTGATCAATTCTTTTATTCAAGGGTAGTCTTCGAATTTTAGGGACCAAAGAGATTCGGCATCCAATCCTAATTTTAAAAGACACAAAGACATTTTTTTTTTAAAGAGGCAGTGGGATTTTGCAGAGGTGGGGAATAATTTGAGCCCAAATCAAGTGTGCTCTCGAGTTGTGTGTGTGCATGTCTGTGTGTATGTATCTGGGTGTGTGCTTTTTCCATGTGGCCAGTTACCTATGTCTCACATAAATGTTTTTCCAGTCTCCCATCCTTACTGTTACTCTTCCCACGAAACCCGATTTCCATATGCGGCATTTTGTGTTGAGGTTGTTGGCATTGGGGTGGTGACGAGTTGTCTTCATTCATTCCTTTTGAAGTGGTAGATAGTTTGTCTGGTTTTCATTGCCATGTTTTCCTTATTTTAGTCTCATGTGCTTTTAAGTTTATTATTAAAATGTGTCCACAAGAAATATGATTTGTATTTCACGTTAAAGACAAGACTGAAACCTCAAGAGAATGTCAACAACTCACTTAACTTGATCCTATTGCAAGATGAAAATATTTATTGGTTTATTTATAAAACTCCCATGGTAGGAGTATGAATAACTGTGACCATTTTCACCCTTCCATCAGATTCTCCTTCATGTCTGTGATCTACCGGTTGGCATCATAAAACACCCTGGAGAGTTACAGTCTCTTGTCTACTTTGACATATACCTGGGAAACTGGTATTTGTTGCAATGTTAGGGCCACAAATCTGAATCCATTTATGAAAACTCTGATAGTCCTAAGAAAATGTGGTACTTGAGATGGATGCACAGAGAACATGTGAAAAATATCACTTAAAAAAATAAATACTCCGTCATGGGAGACCATTTCTTTATCAGGAAATTCAGTTTCTTCATCTCAGAGATACTGTGTTCATTGATATGACTTTCTCATCAGGCTCCCTGACTCTTCCTCACTTGTACATATGGCATAGTCACAAATGCTTATCATACATATATGTGTGCACATACATATATATGGTATATGTATATTACACATTATATAGAGAAAGCTGAGAATTCACATCTGAATGAGCCATTAAATTAGTTAGTATTAGAGCCTGTCATTAACATTCGTTGAGCATCTAAACTTTAGCAGGAAATGGCAGGTATGAAGCTGCTTTAGGTCAGAATATTTATGGTCCTAGGCATGTTATTCCTCACTTTTATGTTCAGTTTAGCATGTTCAAATGCTAAATGAATGTCAAGAGCAAATCTTTCTTCAGGACTCAGAGGAGGGGGTTGTGGAAGTTCATTCATTTGTTCATTAAAGACTTCCTGGGTTCTTGTCACTGTATAGACACTGGGGCCAGTGTCTCCCCTCCTCAGAGAACAGAGCTGGAGGAAGGAAATGAGCATTAAGAAAAGCTGGTGTGTAGCAGGCTACTATCACTGCATCAGATAAAGAGACCTGAAAGAGTGCACAGCATTGAAGTCAGATCTAAAGAGTCCTATGAGTAGCAGCCACTCCAAGCAAATGAAAAACCCCTCCTATAGCAGGGCAGCAAAGGTGGTGAAGAGCAGCATGCCAACAGCTGGGAAGGCTGGGAGCTGCCCCTGTGTTCCCATTCACCTTCTGGCTTGTTAGTGTCTCATCAGTTTGAGAAGGGCGCACAATGGAGAGTGAACCTTTCTTCTCAAACTCATACTCTCCCTGTGACAACTGCAATACAGTAGCATGTTTGGAGACTTTCTGAAGAACGAAAACAATGTGCGTACATCATTTCTTATTCAGAAAAATACCAAGGGTATCTACCCTGTGTCTTGGCTTCAAGCTGCATTTCTGTGAACTGTTGGGACTGCCTAGCACTTACACCAGGTGCACAATGGTTAAGCCCCTCTCCTAAGATGGCCTGCCCTGCTTTGGGCCAGAGTAGACTTCTTTAGCCCACAACACATGGACCTTTGACCTCCTAATTATATTCATAGTTTTAAGATGTGTATGAGGAAAGAGAAGCTTCATTTAAGAACTATGGAATACCAAAGATTCCTTGTTTTCCCCAACATTCAAGACAAATCCCAACATCCTCAGTTCTCCTTTCTCGAAAATCTGCTCAGGTACCCATCCTCACTGTCCCCTTCCTACCCTTTAGTGTGTGGCATAGGCCTTGGAGTAGGGTAATGATTCCATTCCGTTGCATCTCTGTGCTGAGAATCAGAGTTAAGGTAGGCAAACTGGGGCATCTGTTGGTTAAGGTATTTCGAGGTTGGGATGCTGTCCCTCAAAACTGAAGAGCCATTCACAATGGGTTCTGCATCCCCTTTTGCTTGGAAAGCTCATGCCTACAATAGTACCCCTCAGAGACAAAGACTGGTTTTTCAGGCCAAGTATGAGGACCAAATCACCAATAGAACATCTCCGTTCAAATTTACTTGGTGAATAACTTCAAAATGCATTTTTATGCTAGAAAAAGATGTTGATGAATAGCCCTCTAATTTCTGTATTATAGGGAGGCATTTTTTTAGAGCTTAAAATGAATGGACAGTACCACAAAGGAAGATTTATATGGGTTAGGTTACATCAAAAAATGTACAACTCCATGAAGAAAATATTTTTATATAAAATCAGAGAGCAAACAAAAGCCCACAGAAACATCTCATCTGTCACAAATGTAAACAAAGTTATAATAGCTTTAATATATAAAGATCTTGGTAAAATAAACTTGTCCGGTCGTATCCAACGAATCTTTCACACATTTTATATCACCAAGTAGGTTTTACGTAGTGGATAAATTAAAAGTAGTTTAAGTGCACGTAAATGCACACTCAAAAGAAATTCACACTCTACCCCAACCCCTACACCACACCACACTATACTCCACCCACACACTCTGATAAGTTCTCAGTGCTCCAGAAGAAACAGCAAACACAAATTTATGATCTTTCGCTTACTTCTTCTAAAGGAGTTTCCAAGATGGGGGAGGACCGTAGCCTGTCATCTAAAGCAAACTGTGTGAGATGGCCTCAGAAAAGCTTTGGTACTAAATGCTATGGCTTGTTTTAGCTTATGCTCCTCTGACCACTCTACTGCTTACATTATAAAGGTAGAGGTATGTGGTTTATTAAATCCAATCTCCTCCCTGGCAGTGGCTTTCTTTGTGGCTTTGATAAATCACTTTGCCTTGTGGTCTCAGTTGGACCATCTGTACCATGTGGATAATACTTTGACACCTATTTCTCTGTGCGGTTAGAATCAGGTGAAGGGGTTAAACTACTGTGTTGAAATAACCTGGAGCAAGAAAAGTTAAATCTCAACAAAGCCATTTTTGTCATTGTACACAATTGCGTTTATTGGGCACTGGAAGCTGGAAGATTGAGCTTATCAAGACTTTCTTTTACCTAAAGTCATCCCCGTCATAACATGTTCAATCATGGCACTATATCTTATCTATGATAATTGGAAAGAAAACCTCTGTTCTTCTGTCTGTTGTTCCAAACGTTGTGACTATGCCTGGTGATGTAGATTCAGTTCTGAGACTTCTTTCACTCGTTGAGAAGTCTCTCCATGACCTAGGGTATTTAGACATAGAATGGGTGTCTAAATCAAAGAGTAGCTGATAAAAAAAAGCATAAAAATTATTTTTAAAAATTCTTTGGTTACTTTGTATATTTAGTAAAGACCAAAGATAATTTGTCATAAATAAGATGGATATGTTTATTAATTTTCTACATAGAATTATATTTTGGCTAAATATTTGACACTGCAAGACATGAAGCATCTTCATCATTTTTAGATTGAATCAGTACTTGAATTTTTATCATCGGTGCTGAGAATGCCTCCACACTCACTCATACACACTCTCACACACATATAATACATATATATTCAGTGTCATTTCAGAAATTGTTAGGAAATTTGTCCTAACTTAAAGCCGGAAGTCATTGAATTATTTTTATATGTCTCATCAACAACTCAAACAACAACTTTAGAAACCAAGTATTCCAATGCAATCCAAAGATGTATTAATATGATACCTACATACTGACAAATGATGGTAGAAAAATGTTCGTCTTCCGTGATCAGACCATTTTGTTTCTATAAGAGCAGAAGACCACATATGTTAAAAAAAAAAAAAAACTTTTCAATTCACGACATTCAAGAGTCTCAGCTCGAATGGAGGTGTCCCAGGTGGCATCAGCCGGTGTTGTGTGGTGTGGGTGGCATGTGGAATGGGAAGTATGTATGCACTCACAACCAAGGCTGTGGTAAAGTCACATGATCAGCCTAGGCGAACACTACAGAAACACCTTGAGTTCATTAACTGTTTAATTAATTTTCAGTTATGTAGAATCTTTTACTGTTGCCAATTTTTGCATGAACCCCACATTTAGCTAGATGACTCTTTGTGGGGATGCAGCACAGAGTTTAAGAAAATAATTCCATAAGGGTTTGTCTGGCCCTTTTACATTGTGTGTGTGTATGTGTGTGTTCGTATGTCCGTGTGAACAAGCATAGGTGTGCAGATGAGAGAGTGACTTGCAGGGATCGGTTCTCTCCTTTCACAGTTTGGGATCCAGGCATTAAGTTCGGGTCACCAGGCTTTCCAGCAAGCTCCTTTGCCAGCTGATCCATTTTTCCAGCCTTTGTCTGACTCCTTTAAAGATTTGGAGTAACCATCAATGATATTTTAAATTTATTGTCCTCTCACCTCTACAAACACATGTCACTGCATACATACGTATGTATGTATGTATATGCGTTCTATATCATATAGTGGCATGTGTGTGTAGAGGTCAGAGGACAAGTTGCAGGAGTCTCTCCTCCTAAAATGTGGGTCTCAGAAATTGAATTAAGTCTTCAGGCTTGGCAACAAGCACCTTTACCCACTGAACCATCTCACCAGCCATCCATTGTCCTTTTTT